GTGTGTGTGTGTGTGTGACAAGTGAGGGAGATGTGTGTGCACAAGTGTATGTGTTGGTGTGGTGTGTGTGGTCTTTTGGCTGACAGTGCACAGCCTGCAGTGCAAGAGCTCAGCTTGACAGGATGGGGAAATCTGAAAAGACTTGTGTATTTGTATAAGAGTTGGACTGTGTGTCAGTGTGTGTCTCGCTGTAAGTGTGCATTTTTGAGACTCTAGTCGTTTGAGAAGTGTCTGTACGTGTATTTTAAGTGACCAAGTGTTGTGAGATGGATGAGAAGAGGAAGGATTTAGACATGCGAGACAGTGTCAAGCCACAAATCTGTCTCTGTGTGTGTATATGTGTGTACATGTTTGTATAGTTTCCAGTCTTGGACTGAAGTATATTTAGCAAAACAAGAGCAGAGCAAGAGTCAGTACTCTCATGAGCATAAGGAAAAACTCACACACACACAACCACACAGGGCAAACAGGCTTTTTATTTCTGTCACTTGGTAGTTGTTATTAACACCATCATGTCAGCGTTGACACTCGGCCGTGTGTTTGTGTCTCTGCGCAGTTTCATCGCAGAGTCGGAGCAGCTGCGAGAGCAATGGGTGGATGCCATGCGGGATGCTATAGGTGAGGCCTTGTCGAATAGCGAGGTGGCAGAGCGGATCTGGGCGGAGCCTAGCAACAGTTTCTGTGCCGACTGCGGGGTTCCCAAGCCGGAATGGGCTGCCATCAACTTGTGTGTGGTGGTCTGCAAACGATGCGCAGGTTTGTGTGTGTGCTTTGGATTCATGAGTATTTTTGTTTACATATGTTTGTGGTTTGTGCAAATGTTTTGTTGAACAATGTTTGACATTGTTGTCAGTCTGTTTTTGATGATTTACATATTCATTCAGATCTTCAAAATGTGTTGAGAATCATACTGGGGGTTTGTTGATTTATTTATTTGTATATTTGTGTGTGTTATGAAACACAGTGATATGGCTCTCAGGTCAAATATTTAATCGCCTCTTGTGGTTGTGGCTAACCTGTAGAATTTCACAGTATTGTTACAAGGTCAAAGGTACACAGGATGCAATTTGTCTTCAAAATGTGTGTGTGCATGTTTCAGGACAGCACAGAGGACTGGGTCCTAGCATCTCAAAGGTTCGTAGTCTGAAGATGGACAGAAAAGTCTGGACAGAGGAGCTTTTACAGGTACACACTCACTTACACACACATACACACATTCACACAATCTACCTTAAGGCTTATGAGACCTGGTTGTTGGTTGTTTTTTTTTAATACAGTTTAAATGACAAGTCAAGATCATACAATATTTATCTTAACTACTTATTCATGACATTTGTTTATGCCATGGCATTCATTTAGCTGCTTGAACCCAGACAGAGATATAATGTAATACAGTCTAATACAATAGCCGTGCAGCTAATCTTAGTGAAGCTTAGACTGTTTTTGTTGACACTGTGTCAGGGATTTGGATTCAACTAGAGGCAGTAGTTGTGGTTGTAATG